TTTTTTTTGAACATTATAATCTTTTAAGCTTAAGGCTAGAAGTATTAACAATATCATCATTTCCAATCCAGAGATATATGTTCCAGTGCAGTACCCTGGATGTACTTAACAAGTTGTGCCAAGAAATTTGGAGGACACTCACTTGGCTAGCTGACTGGAAGAGATTTTTATTTGTCCCCATTCCAAAAAAGGTGACCTGACTGAGTGTGGAGCAGTATAACAACAGGGAAATGGCAGAAATTCAAGGTGAATTTAGAACAGGCATTAGAACCAGGGATATCATGATTGTCAAATGGATCTTGGCTTAAAGCAGAGAATACCATGGAGATACTTGAGTTTTATTGACCATGCAAAGGCATTTGAGTGTGTGAAATTATTAATAACATTGAGAATAATGGTAATTCCCAAATGCTTAATTGTGCTAATTCAAAACCTTACATAGACCAAGAAGCAGTTGTTTGAACAGAGCAAAGGGATACTGCATAGTGTGAATTAAGGAAAGATGTGTGTAAGGTTTGAATACTTTCTCCATAGCTAGAGAGCTCTGGTGCCATAGCCCATATAGAACTGCACTACTGATCCAAAGGCTGCTCCTCTCTGGCAGTTCAAATTCACCAGTGACTCCATGGGAGAGAGATGGGCAGTCTCCTTTAATGTGATTTACAGCCTCTGAAAACCTGCTGGAATATCTGAGTTGGTTCTGATCCAATGATAGTGAAATGACGGGGCCTGGGGTGGGGTGTGTGTGTGCAGAATTCAATCTCTATGCTGAGAAGATAATTAGAAAGGCTAGACTATGAATTGATGCCTTTGAGAGTGGTGCTGGAGAAGAGTATTGAACATACTATGGACCACCAAGAGAACAACCAGGTGTCTTGGAGAGGGTGAGACCAAGTTTCTTGATCTCTTTTATTTTAGGCATGTTGCTAGGAGTACCTGTCCTTGGAGAAGGACTTTATGCTTAGGAGGGTGGAGGGACTGCGCAGGAGAGGAAAATTCTGCTTGAGATGGGTTGATAACAGTGTTTAGGGTAATGTGAAGAATGTGACATAGGATTGGAGGAAGATTCATCAATATCCTATGTTAAATAGATGCTACAACCTTTCTTTCAGAAAGTGAAGATTTGAAGCACTTACTGAAGAACATCAAAGACTAAAGCCTTCTAAATGGTTTATATCTCATTAGCAAAGATTGAAGTCTTTTTACTTGGATCCACAGTCATCATCAAGGTAGCAATGGTAAAAAAAGGAGAAAATGTGTTGCATTGGGCAAATCTACTGTCAGAGATATGTAAGGATGTCTGTTTCTATACTAAAATTTGCTGATGACCAAGACATGATATTTTCAGTTGCTTCCTATGCATGTGAGTGAATGTCAGTGAGTAATGATGACCAAAGGCGAATTGATGCCTTTAAATTGTGATATTCGGGAAGAATATTGAATATACCATGAAACACCAAAAGAACAAAGAAGTCTGTCTTGGAGGGTGTGCCTCCAGGGCTCTCATTGATGACAAGTATGGTAAAACTTTGTGTCACATACTTTGGGCATGTCATGAGGGACCAGTCCTTGACAAAAGACATGATGTTTTGAAAAGTATAGGGTGAGCAGTGGAGAGGAAAGCTCAAGAAGATGGATTCCTACATTGACTGGAATAATAGGATTGAGCATGAGGGAAATTTTGAGGATAGGGTTTATAGGGTTGCTGCTGTGCATCATCTCAAAACTCAAATTCATTGCCCTCAAGTTGGGACCAACTTGTAGCCGTCCGTCTAGTGGGTTTTCTGAGGCTATCAATCACACTGCGAGGTTTAAAATTAGGAAAGGTATACTTAATAGTTGTGTCTTTTCTCCATACCTGTTCAGTCTGTATGCTGAGCAAGTAATTAAGCTGGACTATATGAAGAAGAATGTAACATCGGTATTGGAGGAAGACCCCATTAACAGCTTGCATATTAACCACTTGTAGATGACACAGCCTTGTAGAAAGTGAAGACTTGAAATACTTACTGCAGATCAAAGACTATGGTTTTCAATATTGGTTATATATCAACATCAAGAAAACAAAAATCCTTACCACTGAACCAATTGGCAACATCATAATGTTATGTGCCATCAAGTTGCCTTTGACTCATCGTGACCCCTATGTAAAATTAACAGTCCTAAACCCTGCTCTGTCCTGTGCCAATCTTATTGTCTCTGACACACCTACCCTCATTGCCCCAGTGACTGAATCAATCCATTTCATTGAGTGTCTTCCTGTCTTGGTCTGTCCCTCCACCCTCCCAAGCATGATGTCCTTCTCCAAGGACTGGTCCCAACTTGCAACATGTCCAAAGTAAATCAGGCAAAGCTTCAGAATCCTTTTCTCCAAGGAGCGGCCTGGTTTTAAGGATGAACCTGTTTGTTTTCCTGGCATTCCATGGTGTATTCAATACTCTCCTCCAGCATCACAGCTCAAAGGCATCAATTCTCCTTCTATCATCCCTAGTCATTCATTGTCTAGTTTTCTGATGTATAGCAAGTAATTGCAAAGACTGTGGCCTGAATCAGGTGCATCTTAGTCTCCAGACTGACATTGTTGCTCTTCAGTACTTTGGAGAGGTCTTTGACAGCAGACTTTCCCAAAGCAATTCACCTTTTAATTTCCTGGCTACTGGTACCAAGTGTGTTGATTGTGGAGCCAAACAAACTAAAACTGTTAATCATCTCAATCTCTTCACTATCTATCCTGATGCTGCCAGTAGGCCCAGTGGTGAGAATCTTTGTTTTCTTGATGTTGGGCTTCAATCCATACTGAAGGCTGTAGTCCTTGACATTCTAAAGGTTCTACTCAATTTTAACAAGTAGGGTTGTGTCACCTGCATAAAAGTAGAGTGTTGATGAGTCTTTCTCCAGTCCTGATAACACATTTTTCCTCAAACAGTCCAGCCTCCCGGATAGTCTGTTCTGCATGTAAATTGAAAAGATATGGAGATAGGACACATTCCTGATGTATATACCGTTCCCAAATTTGAAACATGCAGTGTTTCCTTGCTCTGTTCTGATGACTGCCTCCTGGTACAAGTACAGGTTTCACATAAGCACAATCACGTGTTCTGGGATTCTCATTCAACTGAAAATCAGCCACAGTTTGTTATGATCCATACAGTTCAATTCCTTTGCATAGTCGATTGGACACAGATACACATGCCTCTGGTACTCCCTGCTTTCAGCCAAGATCCGACTAACATTAGCTATAATATCCCTAGTACCATGGCCTCTTCTAAACCCTGCCTGCACTTCAGGCAGTTCTCTGTTGATGTGCTGTTCCAGTTGTTTTTGGATAATCTTCAGCAGAATCTTGGTGCACGTTATATCAATGATATTAATCAATGATTTCCACACTCTGTCATAGATGGAGAAAAATTTGAAGTTGTCAGTGTTTTCATTTTTCTTGGATCCATAATCAGCACTCTTGTTGGTAGTAGTCACAAATCCAAAAGATGTGTTGTATTTGAGGGAATCTGTTAAGGAACTCTCCAAAGTGCTAACGAGTTGGGATGTAAAATTAAAGACTAAAGGTCCTCAATCCAAGCTGCAACATTTTTGGTTGTTTCTTATGTTTGTTTGCATCTGAAAGTTGGACATTGAGTAAGGAAGTCCGAAGATACTGGAGAAGTGTATTGGACTGTGAAACCAACAAACTAATCTATCTTGAAGGAATTATAACAAGAGTGCTCCTAGAGACAAGAATGGGAAAACTTTTCCCCCACATACTTAGGAAGTATTCTTAATCCTTAGAGATATATCAGTCTAGAAAAAGTAGAGGTCAGCAAAAGAGAAATGAGATGAATTGGCACAATGACTTCCACAGTGGGCTTGAGCATGACAGAGGTCATGAAGATGGTGTAGGATAGAAGAAGGTTCTCATCTGTTGTTCATAAGTTGATTTAAGCTATAATCCTCTCAATGGCATCTGCCAATAACAAAGCACACAGGAGGCAATTGCTTGTCTTTCTCTCCTGCTGCTTATGAATTTGAACCTACAGAGATGTTTCTTCCTTTGGGAAGTGCAGCTCTCTAAGAATTCTTTCACCTGAGCTCCTGAGTCATAATGGGCTTCCTAACAATAGGGAAGTATTTATTCTAAAACGATAGCTGTCTAAGATCTAACCTTGCTTTGCTGCTTCTTGTCTTCCTTTGTATTTCTTATTGTAGAATTTTTTGGAAGTAGTTTATTTAGCTACTTTCCCATAGGCAAGTTTAAAACCAAAAGAAAGATTTGCTATTCATCCACTGGAATTTTAGCCCATTTTTAAAATTTAATAGTACATTGTTATCTATTAAGAATAGGTATAATGGATGGGTAACTGATTTTTAATATAAAACCAAAATCAAACCCATTACTATTGAATTGATTCTCACTCCTAACTACATTGTAGGATAAAGTCATATATTTACACCTAGATTGCCAAATACTTCTCCAGTAGAATGTCTGACTGGTTTAAACTCTACCTGTTTGATTAACAACTAGCTGACACCGCTTTTCTTCTTTTAATTTTTAATGATATAATAAAAGTTACAGAAGCTTGATATATAATTAGGGATTGCGAACACTTCAAGTTCTTGTCTAAATCCAGAATAATGTAAGATATGTCATGTGAAATCAATGTATGATGAAAGATAATACTTTGTCCTTTTTCTCCTAGCCCTCCAAGTCACAACATTATGGTGAATGGAAAAAAATGTATCAACTTTGCTTCATTTAATTTTCTTGGATTGTTGGATAACTCTAGGGTAAAGGTGAGTAGTGCATAATGCTGAAATAGATGGATAACATGACTGACTTAGAAATTTTAGAAATTGAATGCAAAGTAATGTGGAATATCAGAAAGAACTAAGTATTTGCTATTATGCTTTGGCTGAATCGTAATATGGATTTAGGCATAGAGAGACAAGAATATCTAATGTGGTTTGATAACAGCTAGGGAACCTGGTTAATAGTCTAAATAGTCTAAGAAGTCTCAGCAACTGTGATTATGATCTAATAAACATTTTAGGGAAAGACCTCTTTATAAATCCCACAGTGTGAAAGAATGTAAAGCCATTTGGATAAAATAGGTTTTAACTAAGAGAAGAGGGAATAAATAATGTATACTGCTTTGAAACAGATGGAGAGAACTGTTTAAAAGGGATATGTGATTAGGTATTATTGTCATGATAGGCATCCAGAGTGAAGGCTGCATAGTGGAGTAGGGGTGGTGGTGGGGTGGGATTGTATAACAATGAAAAATTTTCTTTTTTTACTTCTCAAAGAGAAGAACGAACTAGGGGGAAGGGATAGGCAGGAGAGAGGAAAGTGTGCAACAATGGAATCCAAAGTCTCTGTAAACTTTCATTAAAATTAATAAGAAAAAAAGAAATGAAGTCATAAAACTTTAAGTTATATACCAAAATCATTGGATGTTTTTTCTTTAAATTTTATTGTTAGAATTGCCATGATTCTAAGAATGAAAGAAGCTGTGTAGGTTAAAGATTAGGAAATACCACTTTTATACTTTTGAAGATAAATTATTATTAATATACATATATTTTTTTTTCCGACTGAATAAAGGCAGCGGCTTTAGCATCATTAAAAAAGTATGGTGTGGGGACTTGTGGACCTAGAGGATTTTATGGCACATTTGGTAAGTTTTTCTTATATTCTTTTTCATATTACTACTTTTGAGAGTTAAAATTCAGTTTTAAGATATTTCCAGTTAGTCATAGCATTAAGCTGGCATGTTTTTAACCAACCAGTTTTAGATTATTTTGTGGTTTGAAACTAGAAAAATTGTGGGGAATATATTGGTCTGGAGTTGAGTGTAACTTGTGAAGAGCAGAGCTGTAGCGTCCTTAAGGCTTTACTCTATGAGTAGGATGGAAGGCAAGCTGCTATTTTAGATGCCCAAGAGTCAGTGCAACAAGATAACAGTTTTTTCCTGTTAAACACAGTTCTTAGGTAAAGAGTCCACTTATGTGGTGGCTCACAATTTTGGAGGGGCTCAATCTTCCTAATTTTGTTATTCTAGTATTCCACATCAGCCATGTTGGCATAAACAAAGCTAGGTGGTGACTGCAGGAGCAGAAGTGCCAAGGCAGCAATTTCTTTTTAAGGCCGGTGAGGTGACACTTGTTCATTTTTCTGTTCCCACTTTTCAATATAAGAACACATTTCCAACCATACTATTGCACAAAGGAAGGTGGGAACTAGCTGGATAATCCTGTGTTTGGAGAAGAAAATTAAGGACAGATTTTAGAGGGAATCAAGTACATAGCCTTTTTTCTTTTGGGAAATGAAGGTAAAGGACTTTGTTTTGTGTCGATTAGTTAGGTATAGGCTAATTAAATATTTTGATGAGTATGTGAAATTGACTAATATAAACTCTGTAATTAAGAGTTAGCAATGAATACTGGCATTTTTTTTTGTTGTAATTATTAAACATTTATTCATCTTTACAACTGAAGATGTTATTCATTCCTCCTGGGCGGGATTTTGATTTAGAGATGTTCAGTCATTATCCCACAGATGATAGCATTGCCCCATTTTCTCCTCAGCCAGTCACATACACCAGAAGTTGTTAGATAATTGTTCAAATGAATATACAGGGACAGCTTGGAAACACCATGTGTTCAGTTCCAAACCACCACAATAAAATGAATTTCACAGTAATCCTAGCCACACGGATGTTTTTGTTTCCTCTTGTATGTGCTAACATTCAGACTGACTCAGGAAGCCCAGAAAGGTTAAGTGACTCACAGTCACATAGCTCATTAAAGTTAATTGACTCACAGTCACTTATTAATTTCAGCACTGAAACTAGAAACAAAGTATACTTCTAGTCTTTTTTTTTTAAATTTTATTTTATTAATTTTAATACACATTTAGAGGTATTTTGGATTTCCATTCATTCATTGTTGCATTTTTCTCCCTGCCCACCCCTCCCCACCAGTTCGCTCTTCTCTTTGATAAGTAAAAGAAAAATTCCTTCATTGGTATACAATCCCCCACCCCGAGTACACTCTACCTATGCAACCTTCATTCTGGACTCTTTGTCATAACCATAATACCCAATCATACATTGCTTTTAAACTGTTCTCTCCCTCATCTGTTTCAATGCAGTATACTTTTAGTCTTAATGGCAAGATCAGTGAAAAAAATGCTATCATATTCTTTTTATTTTTTCCAGCACTGGTGGAGCTGTATGTACCTTCTTACACAGCTGACCAAAGGGTCGTACCCCTCTAGCAGCACAACCCCGCAAGCAATCTTCATAGGAGAAAGATGGGTGATTTCTTGTTAAGATTTGTTGTTATTGAGTCGAGTATGACTCATAGCGACCCTATGAACAGAAGATCTGAACCATGTTCTATTCTGTGCCATCCTCACACTTCCTGACATGCAAGAGCCCATTGAGGCTGTCACCACATCAGTTCGAGGGTCTTCCTCTCCTTTGCTGACCCTCCACTCTTCCTAGCATCATGTCTTTCTCAAAGGAATAGCCTTCTTTTTTAAAAAAAATAATTTTAATGAGCATTTACAGAGATTTTGGATTTCCATTCATTCATTGCTGCACTTCTCTCCCCGCCCAGCTCCTCCTACCCCCAGTTCACTCCTCTCTTTCAAAAGTAAAAGAAACACTCCCTCCCTGGGACAATCCCCCCACACCCCTCCCGCCGCTCCAAGTACAAGGAATAGCCTTCTAACAACATGCACAAAAATATGTGAGGCACAGCCTCATCATTTTTGTCTCTAAAGAGCACTTTAGTTTCAACCTCTCCAAGACAAATAATTTGTTCTTTTGACCATCCTTGGGATGATCAGTGCTCTTCTCCAACACCACAATGCAAAAGTATGAATTCTTCTGTCATCTTTATTCACTGTTTAGCTCTCAGATGCATAGCAAGTGGTCTGAAGGACTATGGTCTAAATCAGAAGCACCTTATTCCTCAAACTGACATCATTACTCCTCAATAATTTGGAGAGGTCCCTAATTGCAGATTTTCCCAGTAGAGTGCATCCATCTCCATATTTCTTGACTGCTGGTACTAAGGGTGTTAATTGTGGATCCAAGCAAGATGAAGGTGTTGACAGTTTCAGTCCAATGGTTAGAATTTTTGTTTTCTTGACATTAAGATATAATCCATAGCAAAGAGTGCATTCCTTGATCTCCAACAAGTGCTTTAAGTCCTTCTCACTTTTTAAGCAAGTAAGATTGTCTCATCTGCATAATTTAGGTTGTTGATGAGTCTCCCTCCAATCCTGATGTCACATTCCTCTTCATAAAGTCCTACTTCTCTAATAATTTGCTCAGCATATGGATTAAATAGGTATGGAGAGAGAATACAACCCTGACATACTCCTTTCTTAATTTTAAACTGGGTCGTGTTCACCTGCTCTGTTCTCATAACAGGTCTAGGTATAGGTTTAACATGAGCACAATTAAGTCCTATGGGACTCCTATTCTTCTCAGTGTCAGCCACAACTCATTTTGATCCATACAATCAAATGCCTTTGCATAGTCAATAAAGTACAAATGGATGTTCTTCTGGTATTCTTTACTTTTAGCCAGGATCCATCTGACATCAGTAGTGATGTCCCTGGTGCCACCGCATCTCCTGAATCCTGCTTGAATTTCTGGCAGTTCCCTATCTATGTACTGTTCTAGTCGTTTTTGAATGATCTTCAGCATTATTTTGCTTGCATGTGATACTAGGGATATTGTTCAGTAGTTTCCACATACTGTTGGCTCACCTTTTTTGGGAATGGGAACAGATAGGGACATTTTCCAATTCGTTGGCCAGACAGCTGTCCTCCAAATTATTTACATAGACTTGTGAGTGCACCCAAGGCTTTATCAGTTAATTGAAACAAGTCAGTTGGTATCCCATTGATTCCTGGGGCTTTATTTTTTGTTATTGCCTTCAATGCAGCTTCCACTTTTTCATTACCATTGGCTCCTGTTTATATGATACTTCCTGACATTTTTCATTTTTCAGTGTCAATCAGTTCTTTCTGGTCCAGTGATTCTGTGTATTCCCTCCTCCTTCTTTTGATGTTTTCTGGGTCATGCACCATATTGCCCATAGCCCCTTTCAGTATTGCAACTTGAGGCTTTAATTTGTTTTTCAGTTCACTCAGTTTGAGAAATTGAGAGCAAGTTCTTCCCTTTTTAATCAACAGTTCCAGCTCTCTGCAACATTCTATTATAATACTTTTCTTTGTCCTTCCAAGCTACTCTTTGAATATTCAGCTCTTTTTCTTCAGCATGTTTTTCTTTTGGCTTCTTGATGCTTCAGTGCAATTTTTAGTCTTCTCTGACATCCATTTCTATTTTTTACTTTCTCCTTTGTTTTTGTAATGACCTTTTGCTTTCTTCATGGATGATATCCCTGAAGATATTAAGATTTACAGCCTTAGGAACCCAGGGGAGAAACACTGTGCATTGTAATCAACTCAATGACAGTGAGGGGTTATTTTGTTTTATTTTTAAAATTTTATATTGGTTTACTCACAAAGTTCCTATACATTGCATTTCACACTGTTCTTCATTCATATTGCATTTCATGCAGTCATTGTCATGCATCATGTTTTATAAGATTAATCACCATTAGATCTTGCTATCATTACCCAGCCTTTTTAGGTCCTCACCAACTCTTTCTCATTTCCTTCATTCATTCCCTATACCCACCAAACTGTGCAACCCTGTGGTTTTGCACATACCCATCCTCATCCCTCTGCTATCACCCTGCCCCCTCTTTGGTCCTCATACATGTTTTACTACTTGTTGTTGTTATGTGTCATCGAGTCGCTTGCGACTCATAGTGACCCTATATACAAGAGCCCCAAATGCCATTACATCCTGTGCCAACCTTGCCGTCTCAAACACATTCATTCCCACCACTGCAGTCACAGAATCGATCCATCTCATCGAGAGTCTTCCTCTCATGCATCGTCCCTCCACTTTCCCAAACTTGATGTACCTTTCCAAGGACCAGTCCCTCCTTGCAACATGCCAGTGTATGTCAGACGAAGCTTCAGAATCCTTGACTACAAGGCTTCACCCTCTCCAGGACAAACCTGTTTGTTCTCCTAGCAGTCCATGGTATATTCAACACTCTTCTCCAGCACCACAGCTCAAAGGCATCAA